GATAAAAATCCTATCTTTACGAACGAATAAGAGATTGAGGCCCCGGATCGAAAGAAAAAGGGCCCCAGAACCACAGATCCACAGTGAAATCGTCTAGAGATGGATTTATGGCGATGAAACCTAGAGGATGTGAGCGATTAGGGGGATAAAGGCGTCACCTTTACGAAGATCCTGCGCCGGGGGGCGTCGGCCGGCCGTTGTTCGTCCGGCCTGGGCGCAGATCTGGCGACGGCCGAACCGCCTGTGAACAGGATGGAAATAGAGACGGTGAGCGGAGGTTGGAGAGAGGGGACGGGGGATTGGTGTGGACAGAGGACGGTGGGCTTGCCATGGCGCGGCGGTGGTTCGGGTCGGGGGAGGCCATGGCTCGGCGGCGATGCGCCGGAGGAGGGAGAGGATGACGAGAGAGGGTTATTCCCACATGTCATGATTGTAAAAATGTAGGCTTTCATTGATTTAAGAATCATCTATTTTTATAATGATTGTTCGCTAATACTCTTTGGAATTGTCGGTTTGTAACAACAATCATCCCTCTTGATGTTTTTGGGCATTTGTTCATTGTAATCCGAGGCAAAACACTCAATTGGTGCATTTAAGCATTACCTACTCGTTTGAGACACGCAGACATCATATATTTTTTGTTTTTTTAGAAGATGATAGGCGGACAACATTGTTTGCGGTTTATGTACCAACTACCGACACAAAAAAATCGCACGTGCTTGTGAAAAGTGGATGCACTGTATCGATATTAGTATCGTTCATATCGTGACGATTGTATTTGAAATAAAGTGGTGGAATGGACTATAAAAACAGAGAGAGGGAGGGGTGGGGGACCTACCGCACTTCATTTTGCAGCGATCTCAATTCCCCCGATACTCCTCCATTCACTTTTTTCAATCATATCATTAATGTTTCTTCGAACACCTTGTCACTTTTAGCACCCATTGATTGGTCATTGTCATGCATACCATATAAAACTCATAACACTTGTTCTAAAACGTTGGTCAAAACTATCAATTAAAATGACGATGGGTACACCATATAGCCTTTAAAAGGAGATAGCCAATTTGCAAAGCTGCATATAGTTACGGGTGATATTAGTCATTTTGTTCTAAAGCAAATGTGCTTCTTCGGTTAAAAACATGGCACTATGCATCATCTAGTCCATTTCCACGGCACTCGAGCCTCGCCGCCCTCCATGTGCCACCATTCTAGCCTTGTCTACTCTCTTCCTTCCGTCATTAGAAACATAACACCATGCATCATCATCATTACCATGGGCGCTTTCGAGCTTTATCATCTCCATTCTACTATTTGCTGCACCATCCCTAACGCACTGGCACCACTATCGTGCCACTCTTTTCTTGTCATGGGAGGCACACGTCCTTCTCTCGTGACAATTAAGGTCACTCTTGCTTTTCAAGCAGTGTCGGACCCCTCTCCTTTTCAGTCTAAGTTTGAATCCCTCCAGTCAAGCTTCACCTCCGTTTGCCCTCACCCCGTACGATCACCGGAGCGGGGAGGAGAGATGATCACCGATGAAGGAGGAAAAGGTTGATCGAAGATTAGAAAGTTTAGTTGCTTGGATAATGTACACCAAACCAAACCGAATTAAAATCAAACACGATGAAAAGAACAAGTAGCACACGTTGCACGTACACGAAGCATCGTATTCGATCCAAGCTTTGATCCGGAAGCCCTTTGCTCCTCCCGTCGCTGTCCGTCCTCAACTCGTGCCGGCGTTTGAAATTGGCACAAACATCCCGACCTATCCTCGACACAAATCCACCAAAAAAAAAAAACCTCTAAAGCTTCCCAGCCGCTTCCACTGTTCCACACGCCACCGCCGCCGCCCCAGCCGCTCGATGGCCGCCCCGGCGCCGGAGGAGCGCCTCGACGTGCTCACCGCCGCCGGCGACAAGACGGGCGTCTCCAAGCCCAGGCACGCCCCCGATCCCAGCCCTCCCTCACCTCACCCCCGCCGGATCGCCGCTCCCGTGAGCCTAACGCCGGTCGCCTTCTTCCCCGCAGGTCGGAGGTGCACCGGGACGGGGACTACCACCGCGCGGTGCACGTGTGGATCTACTGCGAGAGCACCGGGGAGCTGCTGCTGCAGCGCCGCGCCGACTGCAAGGACTCGTGGCCCGGCCAGTGGGACATCTCCAGCGCCGGCCACATCTCCGCCGGGGACTCCTCCCTCTCCTCCGCGCGGTGAGTGAGCCCGCCGGCCTCGCGCTCCTGTTGCTTGCTGTAGCGGACTCGGATGACTGCTGCACGGGCAATCTTACTTGCTGTCACAGATATAGTCAACTTATGGGATGCGTGGTTGCGCACGCGTTCTGCATTGTCACGCAGTGTTTGCGGTATTGCCTGTCGATTACGCCGTGAGGTCAATCACTGAATTGCCTGCCGATTACTCTGTAGCGTGACTCTGTGCTAGGCTAAGTTGCTGATGATGGGTTCTAATCTGTACTGACATTGATCACCAGGAGGGGTTTTGTTGCTGTGTCACAACTTTATTTTAGAAGGTAGGTATAGCTTATGGGGTGAGTGGTGGTTGTCAAATCAGATGATGTTCCATGTTGTTACACAGCGTTTGTGATGTTGCTCGTAGTTTTCATATTTGTTACACGTTGCGGTCACTGAATTGCTTAAATTTGCTGATCAAGTACTATGTAGTGCTGTTCTATGCTAGGCAACTTCTGTATCAAAATCACGGGTTCTAATTTTTTCTAGTATCTGCCATGGATTAACAACAGGAGGGAGCTCCAGGAAGAACTAGGCATCAAGCTTCCAGTCGATGCTTTTGAGCTCATCTTCGTTTTTCTTCACGAATGGTTAGTAGGTCTACATTGCTGTTTGTTACCTTATTGCTACCTATGTGAGATAGCATGCTCATCAGTTTAAGATGGTAGGGCATATTCTGTTAATAACTGCATTTGATCTATTACCAGTTTAAGCACCAGTAACCTAAGAGATGCTAATCTGTATTTCTTCATATTGATTTTTGTTCACATAAATCTCACAACATCATCATCTGCACCTTAGATACCTTAGAAAAGAGATGCTAATATTAGACTCTTTGCTGCAGCGTTATCAACAATGGGACTTACACCAACAATGAGTACAATGATGTTTACCTTGTGACGACTTTAACTCCAATTCCACTCGAGGCCTTCACTCTCCAAGTGAGAATTCAATAGTGGCATTTTCACTTACATTTTATTATGCTCATTGTTGTCAAGATCAAAAACTTATGCATTAGAAGAAAGTATGTACTCTGCTGTTTAGTTTGTAAGAAAAAAGTTTAATGCAACTAATGACGCTACAGTATATTAAATGGTTTCTAAAAACGTCATGAGAAAACCTTTAGGTGTGGCCAATGATGATTTTTTTTTCTTTATCCTTGTTTCACTGCTTGCACGGGTTTTTATTTTCAAAACTGACTCTAATAAATATTTAATATGCAGGAAAGTGAAGTATCTGCAGTTAGGTATATGCACCGTGACGAGTACAAGAGCTGCCTTGCAGCAGAAAGCGGAGAATATGTACCTTATGATGTGAATGGGCAATACGGCCAACTGTTCAGTATTATTGAGGAAAGGTAAGCACTAAAGCAGTCAGCTCTTTTTTTGTATATTATTCTGACCAAATATGGGGCTTCATCCTTCTATGGGATAATCCTATCCTTATGAACTTTACTACTATCAACATGCATCCGATTAACCAATAATCAGTTTGGTGTTCATGACACTTAAATCCATACCAGGACCCATTTGCCTTCCAGGTTTAGTTTTTAACACCAAGAAGCTGGAATCGGGGATTTGGAATCTTGGTATTGTCGTTACGTCAAGCCTAGGTTCTTAAAATTTATGGTCTGCCTTAAGTAAAAAATGTGACGTAATATTGTTTACATCGTAGGGAAAGTGGTAGAAACTAGGGTTCTACTCGGTCTAGGGCGTAGCCTGTAAGGGAAGGAGGGAGGAGGGAGGAGGAGATTGCGCGGCGGCCGGCGGCTGGGCGCCGTCCTTGCGGCTGGTGCGACGGCGGCGGACGCAAGAGGCGGCTAGGGTTTAGGTCTCCCGGCTCCCTAAGGGAAGCCGAGCAAATATTGATTGCTTCTTGCTTGATTAGATTGATACATCTCCTCTCCTTATATAGAGAGGTTTACTTGACTCCTAAGCAAACGATCCTAATACGATAAGATAATTGGGCTAAGCCCCTAATAATGATTAAGATACTTGGGCCATAACCCACTTGGCTAAGCCCCTAATATGCTGGTCATAACAGAAAGCTACTGTTCTAACTTGAAGGAAAATTTGAGGAACCTAAATGGCACTCTAACATCTCCTGAGTGAGGCCTTTCCCAAAGAAGTCATGTAATGGAGCTATCCTATGTGACCACTCTAACCAAGATCTCCCCACTTGGTCAAACAAGCCCAAAGCACTATATGTTTCAAGCATATGTGATCCTTGCTAACTAATCGCTGGATTTAGAACTTGAAAGAATGATTTCTTTGTCTTCCCTCTATTGCCAATTGCCACTTTCAAGTAATTCAGTTCAATAGATCCTAATTCTTTGGTGAACCCTGTTGCATTACATTTCTCTTAAATACTTTTTCTTAAACCTTTCATGCCTTCTTTAGGTACAAAGATAACACGGAGTCTCGCAGCTTAACCTTACAAAAGCAAATTAGTCGTTATGCTCCCATCCATTTGGAACCAGAGGTAAGTGAGTCTATATGTCAGCATGTACCTTTTGGCCATTGATTTGATTAACATTTGTTATGGATACTTTCATTTTGACAGTTGACTACTCTATCTGAAGGAGACAAAGAAGCCTTGGGATATATTCTTAAAGCATCAATGGTTATTGATGAAATATTTTATGAGCAGGTTAGTTCTTGCATAATATACTGTTCAGATATTAGTTCTATTTCATATTGGTTAGATGTCTCATGTATAGTTATGATTCATAACATGCTCACTAGTTTTGCACTGTATAGTTCTTGCGTAATTTAATTCTGCAACTTCTTACTACTTTTCTTCTCGAGTAGGTATGGAATAGCAACACAATGCTAAGAGACTGGCTAAAAGCACATGCTGACTCCTCCTCCCTTGATAGTCTGAAGTGGGCATATTACTCTATTAATAAAAGTCCATGGTAATATGTTATTCTCTAATCAAGCTTCTCTTCATTGATTGGAATTTACTAGCATGTTCACTGAAAATTTCATCTTGGGAAGTTGCTATCATCAACTATATATTTTTGTCTTTACTTTTCTCATTCCTTCCTTGTGGCTATATACACAATTGAACAATTTCTTGTTATAAATTAGACTCTGAGATAGGTGCATAACTGGAATGGAAGATATGCATTGTGAGAGTTAAAGCATGGGACTTGGGTTTATTTGCCATCAATCATCTCTGAATGTATGTTAGTACCAGTGCCACCCCCCTTTTTGAGAGGTTTCCATGGCGTGTCAGTGTTACTGCATTTCACCCATGAGATAATTTTTCACAAGTTTTTTGCGATGTCAACATGCACTACTGCAACTTAAAGTCTTGCAGTGTAGATAGCAAATTTCTGCAAACAAAATGGTGATAGTAAATGCAGCATATGCCCACATGCTTTTTGCCTGAGTTGTGATTTTATCAGCTGTGGATATAAAAGAGAAAGTGCAACCTAAAACTAAAATGCTTAGAGAGATCGTAGTTACTCATGTTGGTCTCGTCCGGTTTCTTCTTCTTTTGTTGACACCAGCTTCTGCTATCTAATTTCATGCATTTCTTATCCCTCACATTCTTTTTAACTTTTTCTAATTAGATTTCTTTATAACTATTTTATATTTCTTAGCATGCTGATATTTGTTTACCGTTTTGATATTTCTCAAACAGGTCCTGCCTTGATGAAAATAAGGCTTTTCTATCCACTGCCGATTCGGCTGTGAAATTGCTCACAGATGCCACCAAGCCAATTTCAGGATGGAAGGGGCTTGAGTATCGTGCAGCATTCCCTCTAGATAAGCCTCGTGGCGCGAACTTCTATCCTGCTGACATGAACAAAATGGTACCGCCATATTTAGTCACTTCTCAGTGCTTAAAATATCCAGTAGAGAATCTTTCGAGTGAATAATAAAACTTCAGTGCAATTTCTGCTTATGATAATTGTACATCAAATGTGTTCTTTCTAACTAATATTGGACCGGTTTCCACATTCTTAATGTGGCTGTAGGAGTTTGATTTATGGAAAAGTGGACTAACTGATAAGGAACAAAAAGATGCAACTGGATTCTTTACTGTCATAAAACGGCCTGATGCTTTATTGACTACATCAGTAGCACAGTCAGATGGACCAAATCAAACCAATACTTCAGATGATCTTTTTATTGTTCCATATTCCATGGAGTATAAAGCATCCCTTGAGAAAGCTGCCGAGCTTCTCCTTAAAGCATCAGATTGTTCTGATTGTCCAAGGTAAGCTAGCAACCTAACATCTTTCAGTTTGTGAAAGGTTTAGTTCATTTCTGTGAAGCAGTGCTCGCTTTATCTTGTAGCCTGAAGAATTTGCTCAGAACCAAGGCAAATGCTTTTCTTTCAAATGATTACTATGAATCTGACATAGCTTGGATGGAGTTGGTTAGTATCCTCATTCTCAGTTTTATTAGTTCATTCATTTCTCTTTAAATACATTATTTGAGTGATTATAGCTGTTAACTTTGTTAGAGAAATGGGATATACTTGTTATTTTTAGCAGTAAAATTTCTTTTCTATTTTTATTTATATCAATATTAGTTGATGCTACCTCTATATTTGGCATTCTTGTCATGTTTCCAGGACTCCAACATAGATGTCACCATTGGCCCATACGAGACATATGAAGATGGCCTGTTTAGTTATAAGGTATTTTAGGATCCTTGTCCCACCTGTTCTTGCATCACTTTGTCTATTGGTGAGTCTAGCAATGAAGGTGCACTAAACACCAGGCACAAGTTTGAAGTTTTTTTTTTTAAAGCTCGAAGTTTGAAGTTTCTGTCATGTGTCTTCTTTTGGACACTCTTCAAGTTTGTGCAACTGATGCTAGCAGATTAACAGTGGCTACACTAATATTAGCTTCAGACACCACATGTTGCCAACTTTCTCCATACTCAATTTTATTTTCTTACTTAGGCTACCATCTAGGCAAATTTGCTAAAGCATGTTCTTCATTAATGTACATCAAGTCAGCAATATTTTTGACTAATGGACTAATTGCCATGTAATTTAATTTATGTGTATTCTCTATGGGCTGTGATTATCTGTTTTTCTATTTAATTATGCACTCATGCTGAGACTGCCAATGTTATTTGGCCTAACCACTTGGATTTTAGTATAAGTACTCCCTCAGTTCCATAATTCTTGTTGTGGTTTTAGTTCAAAATCAACTAGGCACCAGCCATCACCACAAGGCAATATTAGCATATATATATGGCAAAGTGGTCACGCTGTCCAGTTAGAGTAGATTGCATTTCTCTTTCCTATGGGATTTTACTTTATATTTCCCTCCACGTAATGTTTGCCCCACTGACCACTGTGGCCAATACAACGACTCATTGCATAACAAAAACAATAAGCACATGTAGAAAAGAGGGGAAATATTGAATTAGGTCTGTTCATCTCCATACTATGCCTAGACCTAGAGTTCAATAAAATATTTCATTTGTTATACTAGTAATAATAATTCTACTATTTCGAAGGCAACCTTTGAAGCATTTGTTGGGGTGCGGGACGACGTTGCAACTTCTCAAGTTAAACTCTTTGGTGATCAACTCGAGGTAATTCTGATTGATTTTTCAAGGAAATATTAAGCTTTCATTTACACCAACTTTGATCTGGGTTCAGGATTTGGAGAAAAATCTTCCACTGGACAATATTTACAAATCAGACAATGTATCTGCTGCTCCAATTCGCGTGATGAATCTTCTTTACAACTCTGGGGTATGTTTCTATGTTGATGTTACTTTTCACATGCTCTTGCTTCTTGTAGACAAAAAGCCTAGTTCAATCAATGTTTGGTAAGAAATAAAAAATCTCATGACTGTCCTAGTTTTTCCTTGCAATTCAGTTGGTGTGAACTCATTATTATCAAATCATCTGACATTTGTAGACAAGTAAAATTAGGCTTGTCTTCTCATTCTGCTTGGTGATAGATGAAAAGCTGACAAGAACCTTATGTCCTTAAATCCCTGAGAGAATTAAACAATTCTTCTTTGTTCTTTAACACTGTAAGATTAATGAGTGAGGAAGCACTAGGATTTCATGAAAGAAATACCTTTTGTTTGCTTTGGATTCGTGTAGACTCCATGCTTTCCTGACTACTATCTCTCTGGCATGGTTGTCATCCAAGTATTTTAACGTGTTAATGTCAGCAACCATTGCACCATACTGTTATAGGGAGATCTTTAGTATTTCCGTCCTTTTTGTAGTAGATTAATAGTTATTGTTGTGTCAAAATTTCTTGGAGATTTAGTATTTTTGTCTCTTGTGGTAGAAGTATATTTATTTTCATCCAGGCTACTTTAGGCAATTGGTAGGCTGAAAAAGGTCAAGAACTTGTCAATGTTAGTGCAAATGAATTGTTTATCCACATTTTTCATATCTTTGGCCAACAGCTTCATGTGAACTAAACAAGTGCTTCTGTGGCAGGATGTGAAAGGTCCTCAAACTATAGCTTTCAATTTGCCAAATGATGAGCGGATTGTGAATGAGCGAGGAACTTCAATGGTTATGCTTAAGAACATTTCAGAAGCCAAGTATGCCTTCACTGATTTTTGTTTATTCATTTTAGCTGATGTTATATAGTTTACACTTTTGTCAAGCGAAAAGGGAGTTCATGCTGACATTGGCAATTCAAATTTTATTTATCATTCAGGTTCAAGAATATCTTGAAGCCTATAGCCAATGCCTGCATCAGAGAGGAGCAGAAAGAATATGTTGATTTTGAGCCTTATTATACACATATTGTTTGCCATGAGTGCTGCCATGGAATTGGACCTCATTCCATAACCCTTCCTGGTGGTAAAAAGTCCACAGTTAGAATGGTACGTGTGCAAGTAGCAATTTAGATAAAGACTTGCTCGATTAGGTGCTATGACAGAAAAAGAAAAGAGTGATATATCCTATCTGATGCCACTTGTTGACTCTCCTTTCTTTTTTGATAAATGTACAGGAACTTCAAGAATGTCATTCAGCATTGGAGGAGGCAAAAGCTGATATAGTTGGTCTGTGGGCGCTGAATTTTCTTATAAACAAGGTCAGTTACTTCATCAGTTATCAGGGTATCATGGCACTTGTGTTACAGCCCAGTGTTCTGGGGCCCAAGCTAGACAAATCTTCTTATTTCTGTAGGGAATATTGGGGATGCATATTCCTTTCCTTATATCCTTTGTATGCAATCATATAATACTTGAAATGGATCGCATAATTTCTCGTTTGCTTCTGTTCTGTCAGGGGTTGCTTCCTAAGAGTCTATCAAAATCTATGTATGTTTCTTTCCTTGCTGGATGCTTCCGGTCGATTCGCTTTGGACTGGAAGAAGCTCATGGGTAAGTGTGTATCTTCCCTCCGAGGCCCTAGCAAACTACGGAAAACTTAGCAAGCATACTACTTCTCATGGTTCCTTGTGCTCGGATGATAATATAACTGTTATTCTGTGAATGTAGGAAGGGACAGGCATTGCAGTTTAACTGGTTGTATGACAAAGGAGCTTTTATCTTGCATTCTGACGGAAAATTCTCAATTGACTTTACAAAGGTAAATTTCATTAAAACAGGATATATATACTTATCATTATTTATTTATTTGTTATTGCTCCTCACTATATTCTATGTCCTCAAAGGTCGAGGAAGCTGTTGAAAGCCTTGGCAGAGAGATCATGACGATACAGGCAAAGGGCGACAAGCCTGCCGCGCAGTCTCTCCTTCAGTCCCGTGCAACCTTGACGCAGCCGTTGCGTGTGGCATTGGAGAAAATCGAACACATGCAGGTACTACTCAAGTTGTAATGTTTTCAATAGCAAATGCAAATTCTTAATAATCTACTCGCTGAATGATGTTCATCTGTTATGTTCATATGTTTAGCTGAATGGAGTTTTACTTATTATGTATGTTCATTTTCAGGTGCCTGTTGATATAGCCCCTATATTTGGCACAGCCAGTAAGCTGCTCGCAAACAATTAAGCACCGGAAGACAGCGATTCAGAAAGTTTTGTGTCTCCCACTGTACCTGATAAACTACAAATTGTTTTCTGTTTACATGAGAAAGTACAAATTGTTGAAACAAGATGAAGCACCATCCTGGGCGACACAAATGGAAAATAACACAAATAAATGAATGACTTCTTAAAAGGATGGTTGTTAGCATCACTGCCTAAATGGATGAACTTCTGAAGGATCACTGTTAGCATCACTGTCTATTTACCAAGGTGTTTTTAGAAAGCGATGTCTACTGTAATCTTTGAACATATTCACTCAGGAATTGGGAGCAGAGACCATCAGAATTCTGCTGAACTTCTGCGGTTTTGCTGCGCTGAAGGTCATCTTGTGCTTATATATATCAGAATGCTGGTACACATGGTTTGTTCCTTGTGAGTGAATGTTGCAAATATATGCCCCACTCTGATCGGACCCTATTCAGCGTTTCAAACTTGTAACGTTGCTTCATACAGAAAAATGCTCTTTCATCTTAACCATATTGCATACTCACAAATAGGTTAACGACGCTCACGAGTCCCTTTCGCCTGAGCTAATAATGCGCAGGTGAGCCGAACAGGTGCAACATTCCAAACCAAGGCATCACTTAAATTTATAGGGTCCCACGATGGTTTGGGGTTATTATGGTTGCTAGGTCTGAGACTTCTTTTTATTTATTTGTCCTTGTTCATCAGTGTAGGATCCAAGAATATACAGATGATAATTGATAAGTGGCAAAGGAAGCAGTGAAATCTGAAGAGACAAATCATCATTGTAGGTGTAACTGCAGAGCAGATGTTGCTTCATCAGAAGAAAACACAGGGCACTAACATTTCACTTCTGAATGGTGAGATTTATCTGCAGATGAAAAATGGCGAAGGAAGGATTGAAGCCCTTTGGCCCGGGCCGGTCGGCTGGCTCGCCGGCCCCGGCGGCGCTGGTTAGTGCCAGGTGGCATCGGGAACATGGTCAAGGAGCTCCGAGCGTCGGGACGTTGGGGAGAAAGCTCTTGGATGTGGTCGAGACTGGAGGAGGAAAAGCACTACGGAGGTGGCCCCAGTCGCTGGCGCAGACACACACCTTGAGCACAAGCAGCATGGGAGCTCGACATAGGTGGCCTCGGCGAGTGCGCGCGGCGGTCTGCGTCTGTGCTTGGCATGGCCGGTGTCGCCACGGCGTCGGCGGGGCTGGGGTGTTCAGCGACGACGCATGGCAAGGCGAGGATGGCGTTGTCTGGAAGAGGACGACGATAACGTGGCAGGGTGACGGCGTCCAGCGGCGCGGTGGATGGATGCGCCATGCGTGCGTGCAGCGTGATTACGCTAGCAGTGGCGGCATGATGGATGGGCACCCCTATATCTCGCCTTCAGCGACTCCAGCTTCCGACTCGCTAAAGGGGGAGCGAGATGGTCCGGCCCACAGACGTGGCAGGCTACTGCCTCTTTTTTTTCCTTTTTGTTTTCTGTTCTTGTTTTTTGCTTTATTTTTGTACCTTTCTTTATACTTAAAATATTCTATATATTACAAAAAGCACTCTACAAAACACATTTGAAATTTTTTGAACAAGTATTTGAAGAATGTTGAATAAGTAATTGGAAATGATGATTTTTTTATCGTGTATATAAAAATGTTAATCAAACATTTTCAAAAAAATGTTGAACAAGTATTTAAAAAATGTTAATCAAGCATTTCGGGAATGTTAGATGTGTATAGAAAAAATGTTGACCATGTATTAAAAATGATGATTTCTTTATCATTTATATAAAAATGTTAATCAAGCATTTGAAAAAATGTTGAACAAGTATTTGAAAAATGTTAATCAAGCATTTGAAAAATGTTAAATGTGTATAGAAAAAAATGTTGACCATGTATTAAAAAAATGATGAAACTTTTTTATCATGTATATAAAAAATTTAGTCAAGCAGTTAAAAAATGTTGAACAAGTGTGTGAAAAATGTTAATCAAGCGTTTGGAAAATGTTGAATGTGTAAAGAAAAAAATGTTGACTATGTATTAAAAAACTCTTAATCTTTTTATTTGAAAACTGTGAATAAAGCATTTAAAAATGTTTAAAATGTATAGAAAAAATGTTGACTATGCATTAAAAAATGTTAATCTTGTATTTGAAAAATGTTTAAAATATTTATAAAATGATGTTGACCATGTATTATAAAAATGTTTACTTTGCATTGAAAAAAATGTTAGACGTGTATTAGAAAAATGTTGTTGGCATGTACAAAAAATGTAAAATAATATCCAAAAGAACAAAGAAAACCAAAAAAAGAAGTAAAAAAACATGAAAATGAAAATGAAAAAAAAGAAACGAAATGTAAGAAAGAATGAAAAAAATGGAGAAGAAACAAAAGAAAATAAAAAAGAAGAAAAAACCGGCTCGAATAGCCTCAAGTAGAACGCGCCCCTACAACTTACGATGAGAGGGACCTGGGCGGGGTGGCTAGCATCTCCCGTGATCTGCCTGGAGACGCTGCAATGGTGGATGGATGCGTGCGAATTTTCTGGGACAGAAGTGCGAACGTACGCTCTTGCTAGGTCAAGCTTTGTACGTGACTGGGCTGCTTTTTTTGAGGTAACGTATTGGGCTGCTCTTATTTATTTTTTGGTTATGTAATTTATTTATTTTGATAACTATGGGGCTGCTCTTATTAGTTTTCTGCTCTCATTTAGATGGGTTGGGCTCAGACCAGCCTCTAAGTTTCACCTCCATGTCGTCAAGCTGCGGTGAAGATTGGTGCAAGGCATGAGGAGCGAGGGTCGGGAGAGAGCGCCGTTGGTCGTCCAGGCTTCCAGAAGAATTATCGATATTATGCTGATAATCTCAAATGTCTAGTCGCTTTGAGCATGTGAAGTCCACCATCCAGTGTAGCAGAAGATAAATCAAGCGTTGACGTGCTAGACCAACTGAGGTGTTTGGCCCCAACTGTCCCTGCCTGCACCAGAAATTCAGCATAATTTGTGCCTCAACTTTCTAAAGCACCTTTTCCTCTGGCATCCACGACAAGCTCGATTCGATCAATCAGACCAATGTAGCTTTCCAGTAATCTGTGAGCAGACAACTGCAAACTGCAAAAGGTTTCACCATAGTTGGCATAGTTTGCAAACTGATGACAAGCCGCTCACAAACTATGCCAACTACATTTCCAAGTATAATCGGCATAGAGGAGAGAGCTAGCTTTGGTGAGCAGAACACCACCAATCTCCTACAGGTCCATTTTACAGAGCGGACACTTCGCCGAACCCAGAGCCGCTCACAAACCAAAACAGACGCAGAGTTGGCATTGCCGCACAGAAAAAACTGAACATACCTGTCACACCACTTGATGTACAAGGTGAAAGCAGAACAGAGTTAGAAATGAAGGTGTGTATTTCGAGAATATACATGAAAAAACATAATGCTGAACTTCCATCCAGCACCAAGGAAGGAACTAGCGCGGCTGTGTCTGTACAGGAGATATCGATGTACATGCGCTATCTGACGAGAAAACCAAGGCTGATGAACGCAAGAGCGCAAGCAATAGCATTTCCGGTGGCAGAATAGAAGTAGCCTAGAACTGAACCAAGGAAAATCCCATCTTGGGCTCGGGTGTGCGCTGCTTTGTACAATCAAAAAGGGGTGTGCACAGAAAAGACAACTAAATCATTCCCTCTTTGCTGCTGGCTATAATTGGTCTCAGTAATGTGTTGCCAGTGATAACCTTTGTTGTTGCAACCAGGAAGTCATAGCCCATTCCTTCCTGCAGTAGACAAGAGACAGGACATGGCAAGTAAGAAACTCGAGTCTATGGCAGGACTTTCCTGAAATAAACTGTAGTGTGATACTGTAATGTCGAGCTGCAAGCAAAACCTCATCTACAGAGTCAAACTCAGACTCCCAACAATCACTTTGAGAAAACATTAAAGAGAACTAGACATGAAAAATAGTGAAAACAATGGATGAAGTAGAAAGGACCTGGAGCAAACTCTTTCCATTTTTATTTTCCAAATTTGGAACTCCAAAATGTACCGAATTTGTAGCATTTTGGAGTCCATTTCCTATTCACATCTGAAGGAAAATGGAAATCAATTTGCACATACATACCTGTGCACTAAGAAATCGAAGCGCAGCAATCTCAGCAGATGTTACACCACCAATAAATACAACCAGAACCAGGGAGCGATGACCAACCCTAGAACAAACAGACAATTATAACAAATCCAGGGGAAGAAAAACTTGGTGATGACACTGCTATCAAGCACAATAGGGGAAAACCATCTAGTTAAACCAGTCATACGGTTCTGGCGACAAACAACTTCGATTAACAAAACAGTGCAATTCTTGGCTTCTCCAGGGGACAAAAGTGGGGATGCAATGTCAAATGATAGTATTAATAGTACTAATCTTCTTTGTCTTTTTCACCTTGGTTTCATGTCTCCCTAGTTTTACTCTTCACGTCCTCCCCTGGACTCTACATATAATCTCTTCTCCAAGATCTGTTACTTTATGATCACACACCCTCAGTCCTCACATGTCACAAGGTCTAATGGCCCAAAAAAGTCGAACTAAGCTCATACAGCAGACATATCATATAACTTAGGATCAAACCATGTGGAGAACACCACAATTTTGACAGTCTAACTCTCGACACATGATAAATACTTGCTCGGTAAGATCATGAAATAACATGGGAACTGGTATATCAGATCAACAGACAATGCTGGCACCTATTATTCAAGCAAGTTTATGAAGCAAACATGATTGGGGTAACCAGACCCTTTCCATTTCTAGTATTCATAAAATGTGGCAACAACAGTTCACATCAAGGTAATTTACCTGTCGGTACTCTGTTGTGACCCGGAACCTGGTAGTAATTCTGATGAACTAATGGTCGAGACACCCTATATGAGTAAACTGGATCAGTATCTTAAGAAAAAACATTCGATATCCCCAAAAGTGAAATTCAATATAGACAATATTTGCTCACTCTTTTCAAATCCATATGAGGACCTGGCAATAATTTCAACAGTTCTTCAATAGATCGCCTGCACAATGGTACACAAATTGATATTGGAAAAAACATCTTAACCTGCGGCAGCTTCTAACCCCTCAATACTGTTTTTTCAAGCAAACAACTTGCTCAACATAACATCATAGATAAGAAAGTCGATACGACTTGTTATAAGGGAGGAGTCATACACAGATGAATCAAACAAATTGGCACTGCCAACTCTTTTGCTACGATGTATTACGAAACAAGTAATTAACGAGCTCCCCAAAACTACATTCCATAAGGAATGAATAAGTATGCTTATAAGAAAATGGAAGTTCATTCGTGTTGTGGAGAACATCATTAGAGAACGATACAGGCGCAAAGAAGGGATGCCATTATTTCTCACCGTGTATAAAGTTCTGTTACAGCTAAAAGTGCAGAAAAAGGGAAGTTCATAAATAATGCCTACTTTCTGTTACTCAGAGCACACTAGAGATGTTTGCCAGGGTTCTCGGTTTGATTTTTTAGCTTATTTTCTCCAAAAAGGATCTATCTCTAGGGAAATTAAACATATTTTCTCATGCAAACTACGTTCTAACTAGCATGAACATATATTTTAAAATAAACTGATTGGATATACTTACCATCCAGACCTCACTGCATGCTGAACCAGGCGAATACTAAGAGGTGCATATCCAGCAAAGATGTATGCTATATCATCAGGGCTGAGATTGAAAACAGGAACATTTTAGTGATAGTTGTTATCATGACCAAGATAACTTGCGATCACAGTTAAGTATGGAAACTTAGTAACAAATGCACAACAGGCAGAAGAATGAATGTTCCCAGAAGTGTTATGAATATTTTCCATAACATGGTGAGGGAAAATGAACAACACTTCAACATATTCAAACACACACAAAAAATACACCAAACAAGTTTCAACAAAGCATATGGCATGAACCTTCATTGGAAATATGGAATTTAGCATTTTTATTCATTCATACAAATTTTATTTATTGAAGCAACTAAAAATGAGAAAATTCTTTTGCATCTCACAACAGCTCAAGACTCCAAAAACATCAGTTAGAGCCAAAGTCATTTGCAGATCAGTATGGGTACTTTTTAAGAACATAATTAGCCAGTTATGAAAATAAACAAAAAAATACATTAATAAACTACACCTTCTGAAAGATGAAAAATTTGTGGAGATTAATTCAGCATAAAGTTTTATAAGTGAAACTTGAAAGAGAAGCCAAAGTAAGTCTGAAGTTTACGCAGTTAATACTTTTCAGGATCCTTTATATCAACTATAAGCTGGAGAGCTCTACTAATAACAGGCCAATTAGTCCTCGATTCCTGCACAACATGATAGTATATTATAGAAACTGATGCGAGAGGAACTGGAATAAATAACAAGATAAAACACCATTGAGGAGCCGCTTAAGGATCTGAAACAAGAAGAAAACCAAGTTGAGAGAAGCTACTTTGACTAACCTGCCTTTTAACAAGGCCAGCTTTTTCCAGATTGTATAACAAGGGCATATGCTCAAAGCCATAACTGTGCAGTATTTCCCGCCTAGAAAAAGTAGAAACATGAATCAAGACTATAACATACATTTTGTATGTTGCAAATTTGTAAAGTGAAAATATACATGGAGTTTTAACACAAAGTATCATGAAATCCCAGAAATACAGTGATTTATAAAGAAATATAAGAATACCTCAAGTAGTCAAAATTCTTCTTCGGCAACCCAGCATTTGTAAGGGAAAATAACACTAGAAGGCGAAGTACAGTTTCAATAGGCTCTTGCTTCTGTATAATCTCCTCAATGTACTCGTAACACCTGGGCATGGTTAGCTTAGTTTAATATTTCAACACAGATCAGAGGAAACTGATTGACAGCAGCTTGATATCCTAAAAGCCAAAAACAAGGGAGTGGATTGCACAAAATATTTTGGGGGAAACTTTCCATTGCCACTGGCAAATATTGAATCTTCTATCAGACCTATATTATTTTGGCATTAGACATGAAAAAAATTGCTGTTTCATACCAGTATGGCAATTGGTAGGCTAAAACAGTACCCATTAGCATTTTTCCGTTTTGTACCCTTCACATGTTAGTAAATCAGGAAATGACAGCATACAGTCATCTAAGTTACTAGACCGACAGACACATGGAATCACAGCAAAGCAACAAGCTAAGGTTTGAGCCCAAGAAAGCACGAGAAATCCATGTAGAAAATCAATGAAGAACTTCCACCCTTTAGAAGGCAAGAAAGGATAGTTCACACCTCCGAAAAGGCTCCCACCTCCATTCCCCTCCCACCACCACATGGCCGAACAGGTTTAACCCTATGACGTGTGCATCCCAGCATACAATAGCTCATCCAAAGCACAGGCATACCACTACCCAGCAGAATCAGCGAGAATGCATGAATTGTTTATATTTTCAAACTAAAAAGAACATGGGAACAGTCTGATAGGCCATAGGGATAAAATGTGTGCTACTCCTAGAAACTAGAAATACAAAGTTCCAATAGCACCGTCTGCCACCAAGGAGCAGCTGCTGGTGGCATGGAGGGCCATTTTGTGTGGCGGTCAGAAACTTGAGCACAGACACCACAGTTCCCAGCATGCAGGACTCAAGGAAGCCTGGACAGTTTGCACATGGAGGAGCACCAAGGTAAGGCGGATGTGGGAGGAGTAAAGGATGTTGCAGATATGGCAGTGGCCCAAAGACAAAGGATGTTGCAGCTTGCAGATTGGTTCATTGCTTCCTTTCTTCAGATTTAGACCTGACCATCACGCCAAGGACAGGGGATCACCAAGTTTGAATCCTTGCTCTCTTCTACTGCTTCAGTGGAGTTCACCAGCTGAGCCCAGGCAGCCGCCCAGGCTGGCCGAGCCATGGCTCCGCCAATGACCCTAGCCTCTTTCTCGTCTCGTCCGCTCGCTGCTGCCACCGAGAGCAACGGAGCTTCTCGCGCCCCTCGAACATGTCGTCGCCCAAGGGCTGCCCCGGATGGCTAGTGGTGGTCAGTGACGGGTGTATCTTGGCAAGGGTGCAGCAGCGGCAGGTGGCTCCACCGGAG